ATAACTCTATTTTTGGCCTTATTTTGCATAGCATTTTGAGCATTCTTGTACACTGTTTTGGGTCTGGCCACCAACTGGAAAATATCATATTTTGGGCCCCTCTTCAACATTGTTGAAGGGCCCTCATCTGTTTGAGGCCTGTAGCTGTGACTTGCTTCTTTATCTCACATTTAGGGCCATTTTTGCATGCTAGTTTTTCCCTATTTATGTTTATTGTTTGACCTTGCTTAGAACTGTGAATGTGCTTATTTTTGGGCTTTCTTGACTCTGTCTTTACATTCCATGTTCAAATAATCCATGTTTTGTATAGCTATAGGCTAATGCACGTGCCTAATTTCATGTTTCGGGTCGCATGTCATGCATTGGGTGCCATCTTTCCATCTTTCAGGGCTATTTTGCATCCCTTATTGCCCCTGAAATTTGCATGTTTGCATACCATGTTCCATGCCTTGCCATGCTTTGGTAGAGTGGCATTCGTGCCTTAGGTTCGGTCCTCGGTTTGCGTGCACACGTGCACGCATCTCGAGTTGTCTCATTTTTATCTTATGGCCTCCTATGTGAGTGTGGATGAGGTCCACTCATGTTGGTGTAAGTCCATTGTACATTGTGTATGCCATTTTATTTCATAGCATTGCGTATGCTAGGCTGTATGTTAGCGCATTGTGTATGCCATGTTATCTCGTGCATCGTGTATGTCATTTCATAGCATTGTGTATGCTAGGTTTTATATTAGTTGCATCCATGCATGTCATGCATATTGCATTGTGCTTGGGATAGGAATTAGCCCAGGCACGAGAAACGAGGGACGTTTCGTACTTCGAGTAACGGAACGTGTCTCAATTCTCAGTCACCAACACTCCGAATTATCCATGATGGAGTTAGGTTTTAGTTGAGTTTTCATGTGCATCCATTCCCTATTGAGTCATGCAAATCGACTCCTCGGCCATTATGCATCGATATGCGTGATTGGTGGCACGAGGATCGAGACATGCATACATTTGTGAAAATACATTACTATGCCCCTCTCTTGCTCTTTGTTGCAGCAAATCAAGAATCAGCAGTCTCCCGAAGCTTGGCGCGCTTCCCAAGAATCATTGCAAAACAGAGGCTAATTGGGGCATCCCAGTGGATTTCCGCGCAAGGCAGCCCAAACATACATCATTCATCAGAGTCAAGGCAGTCCCTGGCTTGCATGCCAGTTTATAGCTTTCCTAGATTAATTTGTAAATTAATTAGGATTTTTGTATTTATTGGGACTGTATTATTTATTCATTCGGGACTGTATATTATTCTTTCGGACCCTCCGTGTGAGGGCACAACTGTAATAAGTGTGCGTGTGTGTGATGTATGTCTTCCAACCCCACGTCTTTCTTCCCTTTTATTTACCTGCTTATGATGGTTAGATTAGGGCATATTTCAATTAGCATACAGTATGATAGCATGTTTGCATTCATTCATCTGTTTTGCATGCACCGGGCTCGGCGCATCATACTAACTGCATTGTACTTTCAATTCCAAGTTGGATACATGTTAGCTATAGCATTTCATATGCCATGTTTAGAATAGCTGAGCCTATTATAGTTGCATTTTTGCATGTGTTGCATTAGGCATCTCGGTATAATTAGGATCATGCATGGATTTCTAATGAGCTTCTGTTTTGGCTTGGAGTACTCGGTAAGTTATATGCTTTAGCATCCTTGCATGCGTGTGAGTGACTGCCATGAATAGCATGCTTACCATGAGGCTATTTGCTTATGTGATATAACTGCCTGAATGTCTGTGGGTGAAGGTTGGGTTATTTGGACTGGGACAAATCATCAGCTGTGAGTTTTAAGCCCACTAGATAGTGGCAAAACCATCTTTTCTTAAGCCCACCTGAGGGTGGCAAAGTCTGCATCTTTAAGCCTACTTGCGAGTAGCAAACCATCTTTCAAAAACAAACATGAAATGTTTTGTTCCAATTCAGGCGATCCAGTCTATATTTGTATGCTGTGCGCATCACATAGTACATCTAGGCTAATAACCAGAATAAGAACGCATAAGATTTTCAAAATTAGATATCATGGTTAGTAGAGGCCGATCTTTGATCGGGCGAGCGAGGGTGCTCACGAAGTGACCTTCCCCAATCGTACCCAAGTTCCCGAGCCGAGGCAACTTTGGTGATGACGGATACGTGGCCTTAGGCAAACGAGTCAGGGTTTCCTAAATTCCCCCAAAATAAAATATTTAGGTGGCGACTCTGTATCTAGCAAAGCAGTCCATGTTTGGCACTTCTTTCAAAAATCTGTTTTCTCAAAACGATTTGCCGAATTTGGACTCTTTGGTTCAGACTTAGAACCGTGACAATTTGAGAGTCCTGAGCTGTAGTGACCCCAAATGAACAGAACGGGACTCATCCTCCCGGGGCGTTCGGGGACGTCTACACCAGGTTTGTAACTTCTAACATTTGCATCGAATAATAGGATCATCTAATTAATTAGTAGCAGTTTTGAGTTTAAGGGCACTCACTTCTTCCCAAGGAACTGTCCCATTTGAGCCTCCCATAGACCACATTTGTGCAAGGTCACTCCTCTATATTTTGAGCTCCCCCAAGAGAATCCGGTGCTTTGGCGACGAAGAATGTGCACAAATTCCTCTTTAGTCAGGTTTGCCATCTGCTCATTAATTTAAAGACATTTAGCTTGCAACAAAGTACTTATGCTTAACATAAAGACAAAAAATAAAAAATAGAAAAGTGAACAATATCTTACCATCTATTGCCTACCTATTTCATATCGTCTTCGTAATCACAAAGTAAAATTAATACTCCAAATCACTCTAAAACATTGAATTCAGACATTAGCCAACTACAGCAATTGGGGGAAAAAAAGATAATAATAACAAGAACACAGTGGAGATAGATTACCTCATCAAATCATTGCTTTCTAGCCACAACCTACAACATCATTAACTATTCCTAGTAATGATGCAAACCAAGAGAGGAGAGGGAAAGATGGAATTTTGCACCAACAGAGGCTGTTTTAAGAGGGCTTTTAACCTTTGTTTTGATCCTCAAACATCAAACAATCAACAAGGGAGCAATGGGGAATGATGAGTGTGGGTGTATATGACCTCAAACTTGTGTCTTCCATCGATAAAAATAAAACTACAGATACAAAAGCTTAAACACTCTACAAAATTAATTTCATAACAAAATTATTTTGCCTAACGCAGTATGCCTCTCACTTATACAGTTTGTACCTAATTACGCAATCACTCTTAATTACGTGATATGAAGTAGCAAGCAATAGCAAAGTATGGATTGATAGAAACATGGAAGAGTGAAATAAAACTTTACCTCCAGATTCAAATCAATTAAATCCAAATTGAACTAAAAGAAATCTAAAAGCTCGTACATTGATAAACATCAAAATCCAATCATTTCTGGAATGAACTTGAATACAAACAATCAAATACAAATCAAATCAATTCTAAAGTTGAATTAAAACACAAACTATTGAAAACAAATAAAAATCCTGATTGCTACAGTTTAGCTAAGGAAAAAATAAACACCTTACCCAGATTATTTGAAAAACTTTTTTTTAAAAAAAAATTGACACATAAATTTTCAGTCCCAAAGCATAAAAAAAAATGCAAAACAAGTGCCTCGAATTTGGCGTTCGATTAGTCGAATAGGTATTTTGTGCTCTTCAGATTCTCAATCACTCAAATGAAGAAAGATGATCAGATCGAATAGACAGAAATGAAAAACAAGAGATTGAGATGTAGAATGCGAAAGAAATCCTAGATTTTATACAAGATGAAAATGAGAGCTCCATCGATAATAATATGTAGTATATAGCAATTTTAATCTGCCCAATCGAACAATACGTGAACTACTTATTGTGTTCTTCATAGATCTACAACTATATAAATACATATATATGTATGTATGAATAAGCAGAGAGGGATTGAGAGAGAGGCTCACCAAATCTGCAACAACTTCGACGAAGAGAGATTTATTATGGATTAAAGCTTGTAGATCTCAAATTTGACTTGGAGCGAAGATCTGCAATAGAGAGAGCGAAGATCTGTGATAGATAGAGCGAAGATCTGCAATGGAGCTCGAGACAGAGAGAGAAGCTATTTCACATCGTGAATTTGTAAAAGTGAATGGAGTGTGAACAAAGTGTGTATTTGATCTGGTGGTTTTGCAAATTTTTCATTATTTTTGGTCCCTAAAGATGTTAATAATGTATTGGCAACAAAATTTATTGGTCTCAAAAAGTTATGTAAAAATTAAGTGAGAATATTAACAGTTATTTTTATAATCTTATAAGTAAATTATTATATGTTTAAATTTGTCTCTAAAAAATTATTTTAACAATCAAATTCAACTAGTCCCTGAATATAGTCTTTAAAAGAATAATTTCATGTAGTGAGTACATGAAACATAGCCGTCAGATGTAGATGCGTAAATCATAAGGTACTGTTGGGCTGAATTATAACTGATGCCTCGTTTGGGAACAGGGTTAATTTAGTAACTTTTTTGGTTATTTGGCTAAAAAAGTAAGTAAAAAAAACTTATATGTTTGGGATGACTTTTTGGTTAATTACGAAAAGATGTGCAAAAAGTAGAGAGAAAAGAGAATCTTTTTTTGGTTAATTACGAAAAGATGTGCAAAAAGTAGAGAGAAAAGAGAATCTTTAATTTTTTGGTATGAGTTATTGACTTTTTACTAAAAAGTAACTTTTTGACTTTTTAACTAAAAAAGTAAGTCTCCAAATGGCCTGAATAATAATTATAGTTAATGTTGGCATCCCACATGGGATACAAACTAATTGTTGAGCTTGATTATGACGGACAATACTTCTAGATATACATTTATATATATATATATATATATATAAAAAAAAAACAATCACCATGTGGGAGTGACCAAGTAATACAATACTTTTAAGATTCCAACCATGTTGCACCATCCACCCTGTTTCCACACTAGAAAACAAATACCTCCACCACCATGGCATCACCCTATCTTTATATATAAATGCATACATTATTCATATCTTTAGCTTTACCTATCATTTTAAGTCGAAAACCTTAAACCTTCCTTTCTCTTAGTGTCAACTCTCCATATACCCATCAATGGCTTCCACAAACTCTCTCAGACCAATCCCTTCTATAAAACTAGCCAACACCACTTCTCTATCATCCTCATATTCAAAACCACAAAAATTGTCAGGTTTCAATTTCTCTCATCCACTTTCAGCCCAAAACCTCAAGATCTCAACAACCCATCAAGATTTCTCAATTAGAAGATCCTCCAAAAGCTTTGCAACCTCAGCTTTCTTCTTTGAATTCTTCAAGAAAAAGCTTGATTCCCCAAGATCCAGTAAGTAGCTTTTTCCATACACATATTTTTCATCTTTCATACTGAAAAACATGTCATCATGGTTTCTTTTCCTTTTTTCTTTTTTGGAAAATAAAATTTATCATGAATTGCACTGATTATTTATTTATTTATTTATTTATTATGTGAATCCAAGCAAGAAGCGTCAATTTTTTTTTTTTAATATAAATTTTGTACGTACACATCACATTTATTGTTTAACCTCACGTAAGACATCAAGGAAAGACGAATACGTAATCCCCATCATTTTCATAAATAAAATAATTTGCAAGGAGAAATTTTATATAGAGAATTTTACAGAATGATGGGTTAGTAGTATTTTATCTACCCGTCTTTGTTTTTTTTTTTTTTTTTTTTTTTTTCGTCTTTGTTTTTTTTTTTTTTTTGTTTTTTTTTTTATTTTTCATATTTTCGTTTTCCATTTCAGCAAAAGTTCAAAAACTGTGTGTTTACGAGATCAACGAGAAAGACCGAGGCAGCCCAGTGTATCTGCCACTGAGTCAGAAATCGGTCCACTCACTGGGCGACCTCGTACCATTCAGCAACAAGCTCTATACCGGTGACCTACAGAAGCGGTTAGGAATCACAGCTGGACTGTCTGTTCTGATCGAGAACGTGCCAGAGAAGAACGGTGACCGGTACGAGGCCATTTACAGCTTCTACTTAGGGAATTACGGGCACTTGTCAGTCCAAGGCCCGTACTTGACATACGAGGACACGTATCTGACTGTGACTGGTGGCTCGGGGATCTTCGAAGGGGTGTACGGTGAGGTGAAGCTGCAGCAGATTGTGTTCCCGTTCAAGCTGTTCTATACCTTTTATTTGAAGGGTATAAAGGATTTGCCAGCTGAGCTAACCGGTAAGCCGGTTGTGCCATCAAAGTCTGTTGAGCCATCACCGGCGGCTAAGGCTACCGAGCCGCAAGCCACTATTCCCAACTTCACTAACTAATAATGTTACAAAATGGCATTGCTAGGATCATAGAAATTACTGATATGAGATGCGAATATTTTGTTTTAAATCCCTGATTTTGGTGCTTGAATTTTTCAGTGTTCGTGTATTTTTTATGTCATGATCCATTCGTAGTAGGATACTGTTATACATGAATAAATTTTTAATAATTTGTTTGTTACATGACACAAAAAAGTATTTTGTTCACGTTTGTTAAGAAGTTTGGAATCTGTTGTTGTGTCTGTATTTAGTAATAAAAAATTTATTTGTGTAACATTTTTTTTTCTTCTCTCTTGATTATTATTTCAATTGAAGCAACATCAATTGTGAGAAGTTTAATTTTCATGAAATTAATTAAAAACATAACAACACAGCTGTCAAGTGGTATTTTGTGTAATCACTCTCTCATAAGTATGTAAGATGCATATGTTTGTGAGAGAAAGTGGCTCATAGTAATGTAACCATTATATAAAATATTTTATCAGCAGTAAATAAATGAATTTTGGTATCGAGATTGTTACTTTCTTCTGTTCAAAAATACCCCCACCAAAAAAAAAAAAAAAAAAAGTTACTTTCTCAATTATTTCTTTTAATCTATTGTTGATGTGCTGTTACCCAACTTTAATTTTAGGTGAGAAACCTAGTCCCAAGTCTTTAGTAGTATGGCAATGAATTTCATGGGATAAACTAACCGACACCTTTACTCTTATAATCATTTTAATTTTGGATAGTATATGTGTGATATCATATGATAGATTTGTAAGGAGGGAGAGAATAGAGAGACTGAACTGAAGAATTGGTGTTGTTGTATTGTGTTTCTGTATCTTACAAGAGAGTGAGCTCCCTCTCTTTATAGAGAGGAGAGAGAGAGAGAGACAAATGGAATATTTTTTCTTTTTTTTTTTCAAAAAACCCCCCCCCAAAAAAAAAAAAAAAAAAAGTTACTTTCTCAATTATTTAACTTTAATTTTAGGTGAGAAACCTAGTCCCAAGTCTTTAGTAGTATGGCAATGAATTTCATGGGATAAACTAACCGACACCTTTACTCTTATAATCATTTTAATTTTGCAGAGTATATGTGTGATATCATAAATCTGCGCACTTAAATTGATAAAAAAAAAATTCTAATACAAAACAAAGCACCACTAGTGTCATCCAATTGATCAGTGCTGGCCTGAGGGTACTCCAATGATGAACCTAGAGCCGTTCTTTAAGAGAGAGATCAAGAACTCAGTGTTTATGAGGTGTGCAGACTCAGAGAGACATATTTTCCATGACCGTCTGGTTGTCGCCTTGTAATAATTATTTTTTTGGTGTTTCCATAGTTGGGTTAGGCCTTTTGTGCTTAGTTGGGCCTTGCGTTTCCGTAGTTGGGTTGGGCCTTGTGATTTCTTAGTACTTTGCTAGTCATTTTATAGATTCAATGTTGATATCTTGATTAGTGATGAGTATAATGTAAAATGAGATAAAAAGGACAAAATATTTTTTTTTTTCAAATAACAACGTAGTTTTTGTGTAGAAGAATTTAAAGTTGATTTGTTGCCTAACAGAAATGAAGCATGGTAACATTTATGACTAGACCAAGTCAGTAGTTGCCCTACCACTAACAGATGCTTAAAGAATTAAATGACCCTACAAACAACTGATGTAGAAATAAAGAGCAAAGTTATGGATCATTAAAAAATTTTCATAAAAATGATCAAGAAAGATTTATGATTTTTGAATTATCTTGATTAGTGTGTAGTGTTTTATTCCAAATGTAATCCAAAAGTCACAAAACTTTTATGATTATTTTCATGAAAGGTTTTTCATGATACCTAACATTGCTGAGAAATAAGAGAATGTCTTTGGAAGAAAACATTATAGATCTCAAATTTTTTATTAAATAAATAATCAAATTTCTTACATGGGTGTGGGAGTCAACCGGTCGGACGTCTCGTTTTGAAAAAAAAATTGAAATACGCGCTCGATTTGAACAAAATAGACAGAGCGTTTTGCAGAGCTGTGAAAAATTAATTCCACAGCTCCATCCAAACACCATACTCAAACTACCACGTTAAATCACATTTTGAAATCACAACCAAACACAATTTTTTTGGATTTCTAAAAGTATCCCCTTATTTGGGTTTTGGATTTTTTAAAATATTGCCTGTCAACTTCTCTTTTGTTGACAAAAACCCTAAACTGGATAGTGACGATGACAATAATTAGTTCATGAAAACCCTAAACTAGATTGCGATGACGGTATCTAGATCAAGAAACCTAAACCCCAAATCTCAAAAAACCTCCGAATTTGGACTGCTATGTTTAAGGGTTTGCAGGGAAGGAGAGAAGTAAGGGAAAGATATGAGAGAGAAAAAGGGAGGATAATTTGGTAATTTCACAAAAAAAAACCAATTTGTAAATGTTTTCAATCTTTCCCTGCAATAATTTTTTAGTCACCACTATTTTGTAATTATTATTTTTTTGGCTTCCCATTTATTAGTAACACTCTCAAAATAAAGAGAATTTCAAATTAGTTGAATAGTCAAAGATTATTTGCATTTTCATGGTAGAGCAACTTTACTATGTGTATGGTGCAAATTTTCCATCCGACAATGCTACGTAGCTCAAATTTTGTGGCTCAAAAGTGGCTCAAATGGCCAAAACGACGTCGTTTTGAGTACAAAACAACATAAAAATACTCAAAACGACGTCGTTTTGGCCATTTGAGCCACTTTTGAGCCACAAAATTTGAGCTACGTAGCATTGTCGATTTTTTAATTACAATTTTACCTTTCAATTAAATATCCAAATTACCCTCATCTTTATTCCATTCCCGGCGACGGCGACGGCGACGGCGGCTGAGAGAGGATGTGCGTCGCGAGGAATGGAAGCAGAATCTTTGGGAATGCAACAACGCGTCATCTCTTTCAGAGTTGTGGCCATTGCAACGAGTTCACATGCTTACCAAATGTCACAACCCAAGAACCCGCCCCTAAAGGTTTGGGCATGACCTAAGCGAAAATGAACATAAAAACTGATGCACATACCGTACGGGGCCTTATCGGAAGCATAAAATATTAATACAACATAAATACAAGCATACTCCATTGAGCTATTTCTAATATGCCAGGATCTCATGCATTACATACATCATCAAAAGCGGATAAAGTTTCAAACTATATCCCTGGATATCGTGTACAACATATACATTTACAGTCCTGGCCCGATAATTGGGCATAACAAAAGGAATATAAAAGTTAAGTACAACATCCGTAGGTGGCTCTCAAAAGCAGACCCATAACTTAGCAGCTTCACAAAAATAAATGGCCTGGTATGGTGCCTGAACATGTAAAGGTTGACAAAAGGGACAGCGTCAAAGTTAGGACTGACCCCCTGACTGATAACCTACAGAAACAGACATAATAGAGAGTGAGCCGAGCTCAATGAGTAGTAATACATAATGAAAGACGTCTGACTTGAAGCTTAAATACATCAATACATAAAAAGATGTAGCATGCACATGATTTGTCTGATTCTGCATTTAGCTCATAATGGCCCTAGGCCTATTCCCGTGACATAAGCTTGTGGCTATAAGCCCTTGAAACATGATGGCACGAAGCCCTTGAACATATGGCACGAGGCCCTTGAACATATGGCACGAGAAGCCCTTGAACATATGGCACGAGGCCCTTGAAACATGATGGCACGAAGCCCTTGAACATATGGCACGAGGCCCTTGAAACATGATGGCACGAAGCCCTTGAACATATGGCACGAGGCCCTTGAAACATGATGGCACGAAGCCCTTGAACATATGGCACGAGGCCCTTGAAACATGATGGCACGAAGCCCTTGAACATATGGCACGAGGCCCTTGAAACATGATGGCACGAAGCCCTTGAACATATGGCACGAGGCCCTTGAAACATGATGGCACGAAGCCCTTGAACATATGGCACGAGGCCCTTGAACATATGGCACGAGGCCCTTGAACATATGGCACGAGGCCCTTGAACATATGGCACGAGGCCCTTGAACATATGGCACGAGGCCCTTGAACATATGGCACGAGGCCCTTGAACATATGGCACGAGGCCCTTGAACATATGGCACGAGGCCCTTGAACATATGGCACGAGGCCCTTGAACATATGGCACGAGGCCCTTGAACATATGGCACGAGGCCCTTGAACATATGGCACGAGGCCCTTGAACATATGGCACGAGGCCCTTGAACATATGGCACGAGGCCCTTGAACATATGGCACGAGGCCCTTGAACATATGGCACGAGGCCCTTGAACATATGGCACGAGGCCCTTGAACATATGGCACGAGGCCCTTGAACATATGGCACGAGGCCCTTGAACATATGGCACGAGGCCCTTGAACATATGGCACGAGGCCCTTGAACATATGGCACGAGGCCCTTGAACATATGGCACGAGGCCCTTGAACATATGGCACGAGGCCCTTGAACATATGGCACGAGGCCCTTGAACATATGGCACGAGGCCCTTGAACATATGGCACGAGGCCCTTGAACATATGGCACGAGGCCCTTGAACATATGGCACGAGGCCCTTGTAATACACTTGAAACTTGTGGCACGAGGCCCTTGAACATATGGCAACCTTTGCTGATTACGATAAGCAGTAAATAAAACAGCATCTTCTGGGTGAGGCCAAGTTGGTTCGGAAAGAGCAAGCTGGTCCCAAACGGAGTACATTTGAGAAAGGAAGTCATTGATAGACTGACCAGATTCTTGGCGCATCCGATGAAGTTGGCTCTGAAGTTGGTACTGATGAGCAAGACCAGTAGTCTGGTATCGTTCTTTCAAAAAATCCCAGATGTCTTTTGCAGGAGTAGTGACAGAGTCAAGCTGAAAGCGACCAAACTGAAGACTGATAGAGGTAACAGAAGTATTACGAAACCAGGTAATGATTTGGTAATTTTTACTGTCCCATTCCTCAAGGCGATCTTCATATGTAGGAGTAGCAGGGGAAACAGTGGTTTCAGCAGTGTCTTTGACCGGTTGGGTCATGTCCCCGGTGATAATTCGCCAGAGTTTCTTTCCTTTGAGGAAGGAAGACATGGCTTGGGCCCATAGAACATAGTTGGAACCATCCAAAATAACAGAAATGGGATGGGAGGCATCAGGACGATCCATAATAATAGTGGAGTGGGGCTAAATAGAC